TGATCTTAAAATCTATAGCTGGTGCCCATGGTTTCTCATACCAATATAGAGACAAGAGACACAAAACAATAGAGGAAGGCCTGAAGCAGCCAATATAACGGGCACAAGGAAAGAGGCTGTGTGTCTTTGAACTGATGTGCCTTTGCTGCCCAGTACAGTGCCTGGGGCACGATACATACTTCATAATGTGTGTGTGTGTGTGTGTGTTTAAACCTCACCCAAGAATATGTTTATTGATTTTAGAGAGGAAGGGAGAGGGAGAGAGAGAACTAGAGAATCACTGATGTGAGAGAAACACATCAATTGGTTGCCTACTGCATGCGACCAGACATGAAAACACACACAGTGGAGAAAAGCTCTATAAATGTAAGGAATGTGGTAAAGCTTTCAGTTTCTGCAAGTCTCTTAGAAAGCATGGAAGAACACATACTAGGGAAAAACCTTAAGAATGTAAGCAATGTGCGAAAACCTTCCATTGGATGTCACATGTTTGAAGACATAGAAGAATTCATAATGGAAAGAAGCCTCATAAATAAGGAATGAAGTAAACCTTTTTGTTATCCCTTCTCTTAAATATCATGAAATGTATACTGGGAAGAAGCCCTATGAATGCAAAAAATGTGGGATAACCTACAGTCATCTCAGATCCTTTCAAATTCACAAAAATTCTCATAGTGGAGAGAAACCATAGCAATGTAAGGAATGTCATAAAGCCTTCAGGATCCAACTAGTTTTTACAGACATGTGAAAACAAAAATGTATTGATAAACACTGTTAATGCAAAGAATAGCAAAGAGCCTTCATTTATCTCTCAGCTCTGCCATCATGTATGATTATCCATATTAGGGATGGACCCTAGAAATGTAAGAGTTTTAGAAAGCATTCATTTCTTCCATTTTATTGTAAAGGATGACAGAACTCACTGTAGAGAAGCCCTGTCATGTAAAGATTGTAGAAGAGCCTTAGGCCATCCTAGTTCTTTACAAAATCATGGAGGGACTCACACCCAAGAGTAAGTATATGAACACAAGGAATATGGGAGAGCCTTTCTTGGACATGTGAGAATGCACCTGGAGAAATAGTTAATACATATAGAGTAGGTGGGAAAGCCTTCAGCTGTCCCTTTTCCTTTGAAAGGCCATGAAAAAAGTCAAAGTGTAAAAATGTAGTGAATGTAAAAATGTAGGAAAACTTTCATGTTGCCTCATATACCTACAATACTATGTGAGAATGTGCACTGTATAATTAACAACTGAAAAAAAAAACTTAACAAAACCTTTTAACAAATACTTTCAGAGTAGCTAGAAAACTGCACTGGAAGGAAATCCTATTAGTGTAACTATCTGGTACATGTAAGCCTGCCGCAAATGAAGTCATATACTCCCCAAAACTCACAGCATTAAAGAAGTCCTATAAACTTATGACATATTTGGTCATCATCAGTACTCATTCTTTTTTTATTCATTTCTTTAAATTGATGCTTTAGACTGAGGAAGGCAGAGAGAAGTAGAGGGAAACATCGATGTGAGAGAGAAACATCAATGGGTTGTCTTGTCATGTTCCCTGACCAGTAATGTGCCCTTACAGGTATTGAATGAATAGGCCCTACACACATATGTATTCTTTTTTAATTTTCAATTGCACTTGAGATTCACTATTATTTGCCATATATTTTTACATAGGTACTGTTCACTGTAGAGTCCCCCTGTGTACTATTTTCATGTGTTTGTGTGTGTGTGTGTGTGTGTGTGTGTGCTTTTGGCTGCAAATTGTGCTATGAAGTTCATATTAGGAAGAGAATATTTTAGTTTTTTGTTCTCATCTTTGCCCTGCCAGCCAAGAATATCCTCAAAACAGCCAGCCTCTGCTTTACTTGCATTGATGTTGGGTGTAAGCTTTATAGCTGCTCACAATTCAACATTAAAGATCCAGCATAGGATGGCTTTTCCTGCAAGCCCATAGGTGTCCACCGGGCAACAAATGCAGACGGTCATGGTTGAGGCTGTTTTCTGAAGGGTACACACTTTTCTCTAGATTGCATGTGCATGAGGTCTAATTTGACTAGAAATCATCTTGTCCTTTTGGTTCTACTACTGACTGTGATTCAGATGCCACTGTCACAGCTGCAGTGGTCAGTGCCAAAGAACCCCGTGACAGTTTCTTCTTGTACCATCCTCTGCAGTGAGGGCTCTGAGCCAGTCCTCCCATGTGAGAATTGGCACTTTCCACATTGCAGGCAGACTCTGTGTGGTGTCACTCAGAGCTGAGCCTAATCTGTCAACGTTTTCAGTTATCTTGGGTTGTATGTGATTAAAATTATGGCACTTTTCCTAATAAATGCATTTTTTAAAATAATTTTTTTTATTGATTTCAGAGAGGAAGGGAGAGGGAGAGAGAGATAGAAACATCAATGATAAGAATCATTCATCAGCTACCTCCTGTACGCTCTCTACTGGGGATTGAGCCTGGAACAGTGCATGTGCCCTTGACCAGAATCAACCCGGGATCTTTTGGTTCACAGGCTTATACTCTATCCACTGAGCCAAACTGTCTCGGGCAGGGGTGGGCAAACTTTTAGACTCGAGGGCCACAATGGGTTCTTAAACTGGACCGGAGGGCCGGAACAAAAGCATGGATGGAGTGTTTGTGTGAACTAATATAAATTCAAAGTAAACATCATTACATAAAAGGGTACGGTCCTCAGGGAAATTATATTTTTTCTTATCTGTATACTTATAATGTTTGGAGCAGACTAGTTTCTTATTCGTTCAAAGTATTAAAAACTTCAGTCATGTATTTTTAGTTCCTGCAGCTAAAGACCAACAAAATCACATCTGCAGTAAAAGAGAAATGAGATGGAATAAATTAAAATAAGCATGATCAGAAACCATAAACGCCTGAGATGTAAGAGTAACAGCAGCCTTTAAAGGATTTCTTATTATATTTTGCCTTGTGGTAGACAATTTGATTTCCCTTCAAGGAAGCAATACATATTTCTGCATTGAATTCTGTGAGGAAATGAACTTCATCCTATCTTGCATAATGATAATGATTTTTCTTTAGAAGGCAGAAAAAATCATGCTAAATCAAAACTGTAAGAAGCACAAA